AAAAAAAAAAAAAAAAAAGGTCAGAGTTCCATGTAAATTACTGTCAATCAAAATAAAGCTCACACAAGTTTCTGAAAAGCAAAGGAGGATACAGATGTTTTAATTTACAGTATCAGAAAAAAATAGTAATAATTTACAGTATCAGTAGCTTCAGAAATAGATATTTGTACTAAACTGCACTGTAACTCTGCTTTTACAAGCTAGGTTTCTATAAATGAATGAATGCATGGATGAACGAATAAATGAATGAATGAATCTGGGAATGACTCATCAAGCTTTGGCCTCAGCTAAAGGGAACAAACTCTATCTGAGTACTATTATGCATCCCCATTCACGTGGTGAGAATTTGGTGTTTTCAGTGCAGAAGTGTTGGGAAGGAGGCAAGGCCTTCTAGGAGGCCACCAGGTCAAGAGGCTCCCCCTCAGGCAGGGGTAAACGAGCCAGTAAGAACAGCACGCTCCTCTCCTCCCCTCCCCTCCCCTCCCCTGCTCCTTCTTCCGCTCACGCTACATGAGCGTGCAGGCGGAAGACCCCCACCTAATGCCAGGGCTTTGGCCCTGAGTTTCCCAGCCTCTTCAACTGTGAGAAGATTTTGTTCTTTAAAAATTATACAGTTTCTGGCACTATTTTGTTTTGTTGTCTTTGAGACAGAGTTTTACTCTGCAGTTCAGGCTGGCCTTGAATTCAGTGATCTTCTGCCTCAGCCTCCCCACTGCTGGGATTACAGGTGTGTGCCACCACGCCCGGTTCTCTGGCAATGTTACAGGAGCATATACCACACTAAGTTACTGGGTGTAAATTAAACTACAATTTCTGTTTTGAGAGGAATTATCAAATTTTCCATCCTTATTCAGACGTAACAAATAAAAGGAACAGCAAGTACCGGAAATATGTTGGTGATACATCAAATACTCTTCGGAGTATAAGCTTAAGAGGTGGGTGCTGTTATCTCCACCACTTTAGTGTAAAAATCTAACCACATGATGATGGCCTATCTCTCCCTCTCCCCCTTTCATCCTACTGCCTGTTTCTTTGGAAAACCTAACTAATAAAGAAACAGAAAAAATTAACTCATCCATGGTCATACAACTACTAAAAATGGTAAGCTGGGCGTGGTTGCTCACACCCGTAATCCAGGCACTTGGAGGCTGAAGCAGAAGATCACTATGAGTTGGAGGCCAGCCTGACTACAAAGTGAGTTCAAGGCATGCCTGAATTGCACACCAGACCTTGTCTCAAAAATACAAACAAAAAAAGGAGGTAGACCTAAGATTCAACCCAAGCATTCTGGTTCTGGAGTTAGATCTCTTAATCCTTACACTGCACTGTCTCACCCTTACAACTGTCTTCTCCATTTTACCAAGTCGCCAGCAACTTTGTATCTCAATGTTACTAACCCTTCTTCAAAAAAAAGCTGATGCTTATTGAGATGGCTTCACTTGCTGGTCTCAACAAATTCTTTAACCTCACTTGCACTTAATTTTTGTGTGATTAGCAAAGACTTTTGTCACACCATAAGGTATTTACAGAAAACCCACCATCCTGTTGGATCCAGAGTTGGTATAAGAGCAGTGAATGTTATAGGTCTGCCATATCCCTTGAGATTCCCATCAGAGAATGATTATTAACCATATAAACAAGACACTAGCTCCAAGTGTTGGCATATGGCTGTAGTCCCAGAACTTGGGAGGCTGAGGCAGGAGGGTCTCTTGAATTCAAGGCCAGCCTAAGCTACAAAATGAGTTTAAGGGCGGCCTGAACTATATCCTGAGATCCTGTCTCAAAAAACAAAAGCAACAACAAAATTTAAAACTTCACAAGGCTCTTTAGTTCATGAAATTGTAAGATAGTCATTAGACATCAAGGAATGTATGGAAAACTGTAATTTCTGCAGAGCTGATTTTTTACACCAATGAACAGCTACTCTACATGTCTGTCCCATCTCAAACCCAGTCCTTTTAAAAGACATCTTTCAGGTGTTATACTGAACTACCAGAATTGGAAGGCATGTTAGATATAACTGGGTCCTATCCTCTCACCTGGCAAAGTTCATCAACAGAAACGGAAAGACTGAAACCCAATGAAGCAACACAGGTTTCCCCGTGTTTAGTACTTCATAAACAAGGTAACATCAGGGCTGGGGATTTAGCTCAGCAGCACAGCGCATGCCTGGCAAGCGCATGGTCGTGAATTCGATTCCCGGTGGGGGGGGGAGGGACGACACAAATAAACAAGGTAACATCTTTTACTTACATCTTGACTTAACGCCATGAAACTCCTCTGTAATTCTTTTGCAAATTCCAAATTATTTGTGACTTCCTGGTACTTAGATACAGCATCCTAAAATACAAAAACAGAACTCTATCTTACTGGAAATATGAAGAACCACAAAATTAATTTTCTTATTAAAACAACATAAAACCTTTAATAAAATGTAACATCTTTACCAGCTGGTCTTGATTAAGCCTCTCCCCTTTGTTCATCCGCTCCTGGTAATCATCAAGCTTACCCTGTATTAAAAAAAATTACATTCCATAGTGAAGATATGTATCAGCCTAATCATGCTAAAACAACAACCCAAGCAATCTCCTAAACTTGTCTCAAATTGTGCCTTAAATATACAGTACTTTATAAACATTACAGCTCAAGTAATACATTTCACATAGTTAGGTCTAACAATGAACTAAAATATAAATTTAAATACTTACAAACCAATAAGGCAACACTGCTTATTCTTTAAAGTACTCAAAAACAATATTCATCAGCTAGGCCAAAATATGGTTCCTACTCACATGGATGATGACCACAATTTGGTTATAATTCTGCTTATACCCAAATGAGCATATCAGACATTTACACTTAAAATTTCTGTGCCTCTCTTTCTCTCTCAATTCCTTCAAAGTCATCATGCAAATAGGTACTATAAAAAATATATTTTCCTGAAGAGCCAGGTGTGGTGATGTACGCCTGTAATCCCAACACTCCTGAGGCTGAGGCAGGAGGATCTCCAGGAGTTTGAGGTAGCCTAGACTACACACATAGTGAACTCAAGGCCAGCTTGAACTATATTGAGCAAGACCTTGTCTCAAAAAGCCAAACAAACTTTTAAAGTAAATTTTCCTGAATAAACCCACAGACATATTCTTTGATGTACCTTACCCATTTATTTTGAATACAAGATACTTACAAACTAACATTTCACCTATGGACAATACACTAGTCAACAGCTCAGCTTTGACAAGGGAGGGAGGCAGAAAACTACTCTCTCTAAGATCATCTTTTATTGCTAAGATGAAAACTTCAAAGGTATCCCACGCTACTGTTTGATAAGCCCCCTCAACCAAAAAACAGATATTCAGGCAATCCAAGAATCAAAACTTAGCTGGGTGTTGTGGCGCCCACCCATAATTCCAGCACTCAGGAGACTGAGGCAGGAGGATCACTGTGAGCTTGAGGCCAGCCTGGGCTACATAGTGAGTTTAAGGCCAGCTTGAATTATAAAAACCAGATCCTGTCTCAAAAAAAAACAAAAAACAAAAAATCAAGTTCAGTCGCTGTTGTGTGGGTCAGAGGATAAGGAACAAAAGGAAATCTACATTAAGAGGAAAATATTTAAAGTAATCACAGTTACTTAATTGTGGAGATCCTCAATGAACATATGAACATATAAAGTTCCTTAAAATTAATAAACCATGTCAAAGTACAGTTCTGATTTAAAGGACATTTAGAATCTCTGAAATTAGGTTAAAAGCAATGGTAAGGAAGATTTTTTTGTTTTGTTTCGTCTTTTTGAGACAGGGTCTTGCTACGTAGTCCAGGCTGGCCTTGAACTCTGTAGCACAGGCTGTTCTTGAACTCATGGCAACTCTCCTGCCTCGGTCTTCTGAATGCTCGGATTGTAAGTGTGTAACACCATACCTGGCTGGTGATAAGTTTTTTAGATTAAATAATCCATTTTCTTAGGAAAGCAACAAAAGTCAACTTGCATAATGATCACTGTACTCTACACCAGAAAGCCTATCACAGTTACGTGCAAGCCCAACACCAGGTGCAAAAAATAAGCAGTATTAGCTCAAAACATCATAAAGATCAACAAAGTTTTCACTTTAAAAAAGAGTAGGCTATCCTTCTTTTAAAAAATAAAGAAAATATGCTTTTGATTTATGACTCGGTATAATCCAAAATAACTATTATAATCAGAATTCAATTCAGAAAAATTTATGAGATTTAGGAAGGCCTAAAACTCAGTGCTAATATACAATACATATTCTGAATTCAGTACATTATGGGGGGACAGTTACTAGCTTTTATCTGTGTATCTGCCATGTATTATCTTTCTCTTCTTTTAAGGAAATTTAACCTAAAAAAATACATAATTTATATCCCTCTCACAGGGTACAGTTTGTCAACCTAATTAGTATAGGTATCAAAAATGCTTGTATGGCCAGGTGGGGTGGCACACGCCTGTAATCCTAGCATTCCATAGGCTGAGGCAGAAGGATCACCAAGTGTTAGAAGCCAGCCTGACCTACACAGTGAGTTCAAGGCCTGTCTGAACTACATAGTGAGACCCTGTCTCAAAAATACAAAATCAAATAAAAAAAAAAAATGCCTGTATGTATATGAAATATGAGAAGATTTTAAAAAAGGTAAGGATGGCATCTGCAAAGTAGAATTATAAGTGGTGGAACTATTTTCCTTTTGCGTTGTATTCTGCAATGAACATATCTGTTTAATAAAAACAATTATAATTCTATCCATATAAAAGATGTCAAGATTGACAAACGTGGCAATCAAGGACTTTCACCTATAATAATCCTTGAGTATGAGCCAGTACTAATCAGTAATAGAACAAGCTATCCAATACTGGGAAAGTTCCAATTTTCCACACAGTAACAAATGTAGTACTCAGCAGACTGAGAGTTACAGAAGATTATATTTTCCGAAGCCAGCTACTACCTGTCACCTGACATGTTATTCTACAATGTGACCTTGGCACTTCCCATTCAGAACTACTACAACTGCCTTGTCACTGTACCAAGTGGGATTCACCCAGCAGATTCTGGTACTTTGAGATGCTGTATGAACCCCAAGACAAGTCATAAAAAAGCAATGGGTCTCTGCTTTGTTTGCTGTCTCTAACTTTTGTGTTTGGAGTTCTGAGCCATCACACCAGAAATCCAGTAACCACAAGGCTGCCATGCTTCCCATGTTTCAACATTTAAGAACGCTGGTCACCAATCCTATGTTCAGGTCATCTACTCCCCATGCTTTGTACAATGTGAGTAAGCAAGTCTTATTCTTTCCCAATCATCATGGAACAGAGGCGTCCACTCCACTTTGTGTCCTGTCTGAACCCCTATCAGGCAGCCTCTGTGAGCAAAATAAAACAAGGGTGGCTAGAGTCAGTAACACACAGCTGTAACTCCAGCATTTGGGAAGCTGGGGCAGGAGGATCACAAGTTTGGGGCCAGACAGGGCTACACACTAAGTCTGAGCAGTGCCCAAACTACACAGCGAGACTCTGCCTCAAAAAAGGGATACAGGGGGCTTTAAGATCTTAAGTTTTGGATTAATCTTTTATACATTAATGGCTAGAAAAAGGTTTAAAAAGAGAAATAAAAGCAAAGGGAAAGATCAGCCCCTATGTAAAACTTCATAGGCTTCATAGTACATACACAACTTCATGGAACATTATGTCAATAGGAAGTATGCAGAAAGAAGTCTGCTCAACAAAAATACAATCCATATATTTCACTGAACTCATAATACCTATTTACTTTGATTTTATATTGTTAACATGTTTCTAGATTCCAATTCATAATAATTTCAGATTTTTAAAGGGAGAAGGTCTCTTACTACCACAAAATATAGGTTTGTTGCAGGGGGTGTGGAACTTATAAAAACCTCAAATGTGTAAGAGAGGGTTATCAATAAGTAGACTATAGTTTCTTGTCCAAGGGTGGTCCTCAAAATTGTGAGCTAAATTATCCAATCAATAGTGCAGTTAATCAAATGAATTCAAATTACAGGTCTCTCATACAACAGTTTTCTAACCATAATAAAAAGCTTCAGCACAGCATTACAGATTCTCCTATGACTGTAAACACTACTGTTTGAAATCACTATCCCCTTCCCTTGCTTAAGCTTCAGAAAAGCAGGATCCTGTGCCTGAAGTTCCTAGCAAATATTCATTTGAGAAAAATACCATAATAAAACTGCAGAATAACAAAAACTGTTCTCCATTAATGGAACTCTTCTTTATCATCAAAATGCATGATTTTTTTTTTTTTTTTTTGGTCTTTTTGACACAGGGTCTCGCTATGCGGTTCAGGCTGGTCTTGAACTCACTTTGTAGCCCAGGCTGGCCTCGAACTCACAACAATCCTCCTGCCTCAGCCTCCTGAGTGCTGCGATTACAAGCATGTGCCACCACGCCTGGCTACTACATCATCTTTTAGCTGCTAAGTTTTGTAAGCTTTTATCACCATGGAATCAGAGCTGGAACAGATATGTTTACTACTGTATATAATCAGATCTGTACATAGAAGTCTATGTCAGTCTAGGCCAATGATTCTCCAAATGCAGTCCCCAAACCAGCAACATCAGTATCTGCTAAGAATATTGTTAAGAAATGCAAACTCGCAAGTATAAATAACCCCACACCTACTAAGTCAGAAACTCTGGGGATGGGACCCAGCAGTCTGTTTTATCAACCTCTCTATGTGATTCTGTGCTTGCCTAAGTTTGGAAAACACTCATCTTTGTCAATTACACTGTAATTCCCAAGTCCAGGAGAATCTGGAAATAAGAAACTACACTAAATTAAACATATACTTTGTGACTTCAGAAACCATCACATGGAAGCCCTAATTTGGAAATAGGGTATTTAGACTTCCAGGAAGATGGCAGAGTGGTGAGTAGCAGAGAAACAGCCTCTCTGAGATTTGGTGTCCAGACGCTAAAATACAGAAGCATGTGGAAGAAAAGGAGGGAAGTGGGTCCCCAGGACCGAGCAAGGATCTAAGTGAGAATTGAAGCCCACAGGGAGAACAAAGACAGACCTCAAGGAAGGAGGTGGCAGCCAGTGCTTTTCCCCCGAGCCCAGACTCACTGTGTGAGAGGGGCAGCTCAAACCTGCAGACACACACTGTCTACTGGCAACCGGAGAGGCCTCCACAGAGAAACAGTGAGCAGAGCAGTGGACACACCGGGCTGCTCGGCTGCTGGGTTGTTCAGATTCAGACCTCTCCCAGGAGATGGTGACTGGCGGTAAAAATCTAGGAGAGAGGTCAACTGAGCTTGGAAGGCAAGAGCAGCTGAGGCTGGCTCCATCTAGCGGCTCGCAGTGTCAGGGAAAGCCTGCCAAGTTGAAGTCAGCAGCAGGTCAAAGAGCCAAGCTTAAGCCTGCAGGGAGCCAGAGTTCAGGATAGCAGGAGGCACACGGAGTACTGCAGGTTGAACAAATCTGGTTCCAGCCTCACAGCCAGAAATCAGACTGAACAGTAGA